TATTTGACCTTCAGTCATTATGTGGCAAAAAACAGAATTTTTGACTTTGACTATTATCTTTTTTGTTAAAAAACTACAATAGCAATCCGGGATATTTATTCTGGGGCTGAAAAATGTTAGCTTACCTATAAAGAATAATTTTTTTAGAAATAACCCAGGGTCATCCTTGACGGATGAGGAAAGTTGAGGAAGGCACGTTTGTTAAATTGAAAATACAATCTTTTAACTTCGCAAGCTATATATAAACAATACGAAAACTGGCCAGACAAACACAACCTTTAGCTTCATAAAAAAACAAAACAAAAAACTTTCTGCTTCTTATATAACGCTTGATTATTAACAGACGAGAAATTAGAAATGGGTTAAAAAAAGATTGACATTATTTTTGCACCAGCTCACTACGTTTGTTAATGAACCCGAAATGATTTCGGAATAGAAATACGTTTTCTTCCGTAGAAAATCATCAAATTAAAAGTTCTCTCATCTGTATCAGCTCTAATTTACGAAGCTCAACAAGGAACAGTGATGAAGGCGACAGTCATGATAGATTTTTGGTGATCAAATCCCCCTGCTTTTGACGTCTTTCTGGACATTAGGTTCCTAGACAAGCCCCACTTCCGATATCGTACGTTCGTTCGACCCACATGCGTTTCATTGACTGCCCACAATAGTACCCGCTATGGTGATGACAATCACAATGATGCATACGACCCGCATCACGTATATGTATGCAAGGATGATACACCTTCGCTGTACAAGAAACCGACGCGCCAAATATGGGCAAAAAGAAAGGGAATACGAATAAGGAGGAACAACTCAAAATCTATAAACTCGTCTTTTAACTGCCTCCAGCAAATATACAAGCAAGCATACAAACGCTCTGTGCGAAGCAACACCTCTGGCAGCTAGACGTTTGCCGTCGATTCAGCTCTACCGTTCGGTCAGTGATTACGTTAGGAAGTCCTAGCCGCGGCTATTGTCAGATTGGCGGACATCTAGGTGGTCAAGTAACAATAAGCGTGAACAGAGGACATACCGGTAACAATGGCAATCGCTCGTGATGATACGTTCCTTCTCCTTTAATCAGTTGCTGTCTCCGTCGCTACAGATGCTGCCAGGAGACACGACGGGCAAGGAGATATGTTACCGCGTCGGGCTGACCCCGACCCGGCACAAGGATCGCACGCGTGATAAAACGCTGCGCTGCGTTTAAGACGCTGTCGTTTGCTCGGGCTTGCCTTGGACTCGGATATCTGTCCGATTACCGGTTCTGTACTCTTTGCTTCTGCCGCCGCCATCGGTTAAAGATGGAAGAGCGCTATTGACCTGAAGATCAATGCTGTAAGAGGCGCAATAGCAGCACCAGTAAAAAAAGGTAGCAATAGTGAATGCAGCAGAGTTAGTTGCAGGCGATGACAGTTAGCTGCGGCCTGTCTTGTTTATCTTCAGCTGAAGAAATCAGAATTGGAAAGCTTCAACATAGCCAGAAGAGATTGACGGCATGGCGGCGGTTGAGACGGTGCTCGAGATGCCACTCGGGTGAAAAGGCCAGCTAGACGCTACCACATTGACATGGGTCGGTAACAGTCAAAAAGCCAGCTCCTCCATGACAGGATGAAGAATCCGGCTTTCTCTCAAGAAAAATTTTCCCCGCCGTCTATTCGTCGAAGATCTAACAATATCGAGTCGACGCGTCGGTGTGAAGCGGTAATATACCGGCGAGCACCCCGGTAAAGAGACGCCTAAGGGTGGAAAACCGAAGCGTCGCGCAATAACGATGAACCGCGCAGGAAGAAAACTCGAGTCTCGGCTCTTGCCGTAGTGGCATTTTTAGCGATGGAAGACCTAGCGTTCCCTCTCTCCACGCGCCGCCACCTTCCACCTGGGCCTGGATCGATGACGCTATGGTGCCGATCTGTTTACTAGATAGCAGAAATCGTATGGGGAGCGCAAAGGGCTTGCTCGACTACTAATCCGTTGACAGTTATGTATGGCATGAGAGGCAGTTAAGTATCCAATTGCAATTTGTTATCGCCGTACGTAATTCGAAATCCTTTATATTCAGCTTAGTTTACGGCATGGCTCTAAGATGAAAGCAATTGTACAACGGTTGCTAATATTTGCCGTCCCTGGATTGTGGTAACTTTAACATTAATTTAGTCGCATGATAATATAGTAATATAGGAATTGCATAAAATGTAGAAATAATTAATGTTCTGCATAGAATCATTGTTATTGGCCGCGTTCCAAGCCTTAAGTGACTGAGCGCTCGCTTAATGGGCTCGCTTCAACTACGACTTACCAATCAATCAATCATTTTTGTTCAGAGGCACTTCATCGCCCTTATCATTTAATGTTTGATGCGACCTCCTTGTCTTTGCGACTGCTTGCCACCCATATGATATCGGCTAAAAACTGTACAATGTTTTATATATAATAAAAAATAATAAGTCGCCACATCAACATTAATGATATTGCGCCAAACAAAGCCGCCCACGCATCCGGTTGTTATCGTCTATTGTCGGTACGGCTTTCAGCTGAAACCGCTAGGGCGCTGGGTTGTTTAGCAGCTTCTTCGCCGTAAACGGTAGAAGCGAGTGCGTCATCACTAGGGTTACCGTTAGTGGAAACTATGAAAAGCGTCTTCAGTCACAGCAGTGGCCATTATAACTTACATTGTCACAAAGATTGCGCTATGGCACTCCACTAGATACTCAGTCTCACCCTCGTTCGCTTTAAAGCTGTCCCACCGACTCGAGATCGGTCACCAGATCGCCTCGTCGTTTGTAATATATAGCTTAGACAATATGCTTATAACACAGCAGTTTCGTTAGCGCGGTTAACCATTTTCTTTAACCGTTCTTCCTCTCTCGAATCTTCGTACAATTGGCGTTGGATCGCTCGATGCTTCTCTGCCATCATCTGACTAGTCAGGTGAGTAAAACCAGCGAGCGAGAGTTGTCCTATAATGGTGGTTTGTTAATTCATCCGTCCGCGTTCATCCCATGCAAATGTTTGTCTCAGTAAAATCTTCCTCCGTGTCTTTCCGCGGGTTCTCGATGAGACTATCAATGAACTTCCGTATCGCCGATATCAGTCTTGTTTGGCACACATGCGCCGATTATTACGCATGCGGCATTGCTACTCCTTCTATTACGCGTATGAGCAAACCGGATCAATAAGAGAGTCGACAGGGGGTGGGTTATCTACGTGATAGTTTAGCGGGTGACGTGTTTGCCAGCTAATCTTAGTTGTGGTTTAGATTCGTACCTGGCCAGAAACAAACTTCGTTTCGTCCTAGGAGTCCGCCGATCGATGGAGTACGGCGACAGCGGGTGTAAAACTCAAAGTATAGAGAAGAGGTGGGAAGCGATAAAAGAAGTCGGGCTCAAAAAATGAAAAAGAACACGGGACTGGCGCACGGTGATAGGAAAGGCTGGTCAAAAGTCGGTGCATTTCGTCTCCCAAACAGGCCTCCAGGGACAATAATAATAACAACGAGAGAGGCGATTATTAGCAGCGCTAGGTCTGATGCTGTCGTTGACGTCTGTCGTTCCCGATCGCCATCGTTGTCCTTACCGACGATAGGCTCTCACGCAGGCTGGATGAGTAACACAGATACAGGCGGACGCACGCGAAGAGATGGCGCTACAATGAGCAAGCCAGCAGTAATAAAACCTGCGCAAGCGTAAGAACTGACAAAGAACTACCGACTAGAACTTACACGAATTGTTGTCGTACGTCGTATCAAAATACTAACAAAAGACTTCTGGTCACAACAATATGGTCGAGGGAGATTTATGGCCGGATTGTCGCTGGTGCCGCAGTGGTTTAGGGATTTTTCAGTAGGATAACTGATGGTACGAAGCGTTTAGACCGTAGACGAGAGATTCAAAAAGAGCATCGCGGAGACGGACCAAGTAACAAAAAGCCGACAGCTTGAATTGCCTCGAATGCCGCCAGCAGCTGCAGCTGCAGCGATCTCTCCATGGCCAACAAGCTAAACTATCATTGTGGTTGAATCGTTACTGTCAGGATAACTTCTATAAGTAATAATCATAGAACTAGCCCACTAGTGGCCAATATGCAACAGATACTACCGTTATTGCTACGGGCACCTCTATAGCACCGGTTGTCTCGCTGATTACGAACGCTGGATGTTGATTCTTCAATGGAGACGCAGCTTACAACGGACACAATAGAAGCTAGCCGGCGCATTAAATAGAAAAGAAAAACCAACTGATACTAGTGAACATGACCAGCAACAGTGGTATTTATTATGATATCACTATTGCTGTACAAATATACAAGCGAAGAAAGCTTCAGGGGGGTCCGACAGATGCCAGTGCCATAGTACTTTCTAACGTAATCACGAAACTATCTCTTTTCTTTCCTTTCCCTTACTATCTAGCTCGAGCAGCGGGTTGACAAGTCGTGCAATGCGCCGACAGCAAAAGTGCCAATTAAGACTGTATGGTTTTGTAGATATGTACATATGTATTAAGCTTCTCCGCGGAGTGGCTTCCGTTAGGTCATAGACTACATTATACGTATATATAATGTAGCGCGATATACTATGATGATGGTGGGGAAAACTTTGGGCGACGAGCAGTTCAATGAGGTTTCACCGATGTCGTTTGACGGGATCATTTTGCGTCAATCGTACACAACCCGCCAGTATGTATATTTGTGTAACATTATTACAACGATAATGCTGCACTGCGCCTGTATATATAATATTATCAAGTGCTATGGCGAAGTAATTCTAAAATAAGTAAAAGGAAATCACTTTATCACAGTGTATCCTTGGCCAAGCGAAACTTCGACTTATGGTGCAGTTTGCATTTAAAAAATAGAAGAATATATTTGTTGTCGAGATAAGAAGGTTTTCAGACTCTATTCAATTATATGTTACAACCTAGGCAGAAAAAACCCGAATTATCGCGATATGTCGAATTTCCGTTTTTACCTATTTTTTTTGTTTTACTACATTTACTTACCTCCGACGCTAAGCCCCCTTAAAGTAAACTTAAGATGCTTAAAGGGTTCGATAGGAATGGATGACATCGGGTTTCCGTCGAGGGCGAGGAGCGTGAGCAGAGGGTTGGCGGAGAATGCGTTATCGGGAATATAACGGATGCCGTTGAAACCAAGATCCAACACCTGTTGGTAATGAAGGATATGTCTTATAGGACAGCATATATATATATATATATATATATATATATATATATATAATAGAAAAAGTACGTGTTGGCTCGCTAGCTCAGTATAATCATCATAACATTGTATATATATATATATATACATATTACTGCTACTAATGGTCGTTTGATAATATCCATCTTGACGTTTATCGTCTTGATTGACGTACGTCTTTTAGACGTGCTTCGACTTAGCAGCCTACGAAAATTAACGGCTGCGACGTGAGCCGATGACCGACTTTAATCTAAAGGAAGAAACCAATTTAACCTTCTATAATATTAAATAAAATGCAAGTGTAGTCTGAGTGACTACGCAAGTGGGCTAAACTCGCCAGAAACCTGAATACGCCTACACATACACATGTACGCATAGAATACTTATGTTCTTTTTTAAATTTCGGCGGGCAAGATGAGTCAATGAGGCCACAAGTTAGCTGGCCCCAGATATAGCGATAGTCATAAAGCCAAGCAATAATAACACTATATTTAGTGTAACTGCAAGTAAAGCACTTGTTAAACATTATGTACGCCAGCTTCGAATGGTACCCAAATCGTTTGGATTAGCCGCTAAAAACAAAACGACCACGGTTGAAGAAAACATTATGTTTCGACAATGTCGAAGGGAAGCACAGGCACGTTGACAACTCGATGTCAACTAAGACAAAAGGAAAAGCTCCCTACGCATAGATGCTTCCTGAAGTAGTATGAGCTATCTGCATAATAGAAGTAACTTCTCTTAGCTTGTGCAGGCTTTCAGGCTTGAGAGTAGTGGGCTATGGACACGCGAACTTGCATAGGAGCAAGCTCCGCGTATTTGCATGGTGCTTGCTTTCAGTTGTGCTGTTGTTCTTGGGCATCTTGTTTATAAGAGAAGTACGTGTTTATTCACAGAAGGTCGTAAACCTCGTGAACGAAGGACAAAAATAAACGCGAATAGTTGCATTTAATCGATAGAATTTGGACAAGTAAGGCGTGCCTGAAATACCAGCCGTAGTCCATTGCCAACTAAAACGATGACAGCGACATCGGTAACAACGACGATGATCTGCCTGATTGAGGGAAAATGATTTCGCTGAAGTATCGCCTTATTTCAGTTAAGATGTCCATTCATCCGAATAACGTTTTAACTTTTAGCTAATTCAAACTCTATCTATGCAGCAGCGATCGTTACATTCGGCAAAGAAATTGTTCTATTCATTCGCGCTACAAAGCTGAGCTGAATGTTACGGCTTCCTTTAACGGCTTGAACAGTTGTTTTTAAATCATATTTTGCGACCCTCTGTATATTTCTAATACTAATAGAACAAGATGTTATGTGCTGATAGAAGTATTATAGTACTTAAGGGAAGCGACTAAATTTTTTAGTCACAGAGTTTACAATGACGCCACGTGTAAAAAGTGTGGGATTTGACCCCAAACATCGATTTCATCACAGGATAATCACACCAAACGGTGGCTTTAATATGTGTTCTGTCTTATACGACGAAAAAATCATGATAACTGTTAGTGCGTGGAGCGCCGTATAACGTGAATTTACAATTTCGAAATACCGAATCCGAGCTTCGGATCGCGGGTCTAATTCGACCCATCAAACACAGGTGTCTCACAAGGTGAGGCTAGAAGTGCATTCTAACTATAATCTGGTTTTGCCTAAGCAAATCAGACTATTTCAAACCTAGCCTAGGGTGAACTTACGGAAAGGTGTAGAACCAACATCGTCCTCCTTTTAGAATTCTAGCGGACTGAGTTCGTATTACGTGTTGTTGAATGTGTTTGGAATGAAGGGAACCCTTTTGTCAATCGTACTGTTTGTTCCGATTTGGTACTGCAAGTCAAATAATCATTGAATGGATTTGTATTCTTTACGATACGTTGGTAATATAATAATAGTATAGCTACACACCAATGGCAGGGGCAGCATCAGTAAGAACAGTAGAAGGTTAACGATCACCCCAACCCCATTAACTTTAACGTAGCGCTTGGTCGTTCTAGCAAAAAACCAACGTGATGCTTATTGTGATATCTGTGTCGTTGGATAGTAACAGATAGCCGCCGCGGAAGGCTTGGGCTTCTCCGTCAAATAAACCGAAGGGGCAAATCACTTCTGTCAGTCTATCTGTTTTAATTTGTCGCTTCATTTACCTGTCACTTTCCGCCTTAGGATATAGGGGTCACCCGAATGCATTGTTCCACCTGTTGCTCTCTGCGTCAATCAGGATGAAAATTTGCCAGGTTGTGGCATATTTCACTGAGTGACAGAACTAAACGATATCTTAATTGGTATTTAAATAGACACCAACAATAAAGTGGCGAAGTTCCTATACAGGTTAAAGCGGCCTGAGAGTTCCGACCACACCACGTCTCAGTATGAACCCTCCTAGCTGCGAGCTGGTGTGGGTGATTAGATAAGATAAATAAAAAAAAAAAAAAAAAAAAAAAAGCCTCACACGAATGGCAACAAAGTTTAGCAGATACGTGCAAGATATATATATGCACTTCTAATAGAAATCCATTGATAGGCCTGCATCGAGACGCTCGGTGAATGAGGAGACCTCAGCATCGGGTCAATTTGTCCGACCTATATCTTCACACGAATCTGGATATCATTAGCGAGTAGTTGTCGTATCGTGATGAACTTCATGTGTTTGCGGTGCCGATTAGAGCTAAATCGTTCACTGTCTTGATGTTATGATACCATTTTAGTGTTAGTAGTGACAACGGTAATAATGACGTTTTCGATAAATATTGTTTACTTCATTTACACTTCACCTTTTATATATATAAAAGCTTGTCTTTCTTCTAAGGTATATTGATACAATAGTTTCCGTGAGACCCCTGAGGGTTCATCTTGGCCGTTTTCGAGCTACCGCACAGACACGATAGCAACGGCATTGTTCAGAATTATAAATCTGCAAACATTGTAATTTACGTCTATGTATATAATAAAGGTTCAACTATAACCAGTTGGCTATTATAGTTAATGTATCAAGCCCACTACTTATAGGTTCCAATTTTTCCATAGAGACACAGTGTAGCTTGAAACCATTTCATTATGTGCTATAATTAATGTTGTTTTGTGCAAATTATCTTGGCCTTTGATAATTTTTTTAATAACCCAATTAGTTGAGTGATGACTCGGTCGACATGGCAGCTAAAGCGTGCGAACAATAGGCACGCATGAGTGAAAAGCTATACCTTATACAGTGTTATTACGTGTGCTGACAATGCCACAGTTTTGCAGTTCTGCTAATCTTGACAACAGCTCTTCAGATTAAGATTTATAGACCGGCGATGTCCGTCCCACATGTACCCCTTCCAAAACTCTCACTGTTACACCTAGAAGAACGACAGGCCACATGGGAAATGGCAGTCCTAACGACATCATTTAGTGCTTTTCGATCGAATATCTAGCAGGTTTCATTAGTTAAAACAACAACAACAACAACTGTTGTATATACAGCAGAACCTTAATGTTATTATATGGACAGATTAGTGATAAAACCAAGTCCGGTGGGCGTCCGCACGTACGAGTTTCAATGTCGTCTCAAATTGGATTTTTTCTACATCAGCCGTACGTCAATTGTGTACTGGCTAAATTGTTTGTCTATTATATAAAGTACAAATAACAGGCTACTACTAATCGCCGTCTGCAGAGTTCGCCTATACGAGTGCGCACAGATTCGATTGGCCCTTATAAAAAAAACCCACGCAGCTTGAGGCCTCGCAAAGCATGCTGCTAAAATATTACAGAAGTAACTTTAGCTATCACGAACAACTTAGCTATATTCACTCGTGCAAAACAATTTGCCGTTAGTTATTACCCCAAGTGGGATCATTGCAAAAAACTACATGTGTCCCTTATATATTCGGGTCATCATTATCCGAGTATTGTTGTCTGTTACGATCATTCTCCGCTGGCGTGTTATTTCGACACTTGCGGCCGTCCGACAATTGCTCGCTTTGCTACCTGATTTCATAGAGTACATGCGCTGACCACTGGGCGCCCCCAATATCGATACCAAAAATTACGTCCCCGCCGAAACGACTTCAATATGTCGTTTAGTAGTTCTGCTTGCCACAAGGCAAGGCAACGATCCGTTTTAAGTAATAGAAAATTTCTTTTACTTCCAAGGAAAACTACCTGCTAAACGTCGTCGCTGAAAACGCCGTCATATCGGCAGAAATGAGATTAGAAAATCCCTACAACTATTGTAGTGCCTTTTAGAATATAAAGCTAACATGGGTGCTGAAGCATTTTTGTGCACGCGCCATCCACATGTGCATCATAGAAACAACGATGCATGCCCAAAACCAATATTTGCCTAGTTCGCCTATTCGTCAACGCACTGATTCCCTCTTCTGATAAAATGGCCTGGTCAGCATCCAGGCGCCATATGAGCCTCTTATGTCGACACGATCACTGCCACTTTCAATGTACAAGTGTTCATACCTAATAAAGAATATCTACGTATGGAAGATACAATAAGACCAGCTGGCATTCCGTGACTCGCCGACCTGCCAGTGTCGCAGATCAGGCTACTTGCGCCATTAACCCAACCCAACAAGTGCAGTCAATCACCTGCAAACGCCTTAATCACTGAGCACGGCACAACAGAGACGGTTCTCGGTCGCAAATCCTGTAATGAGGCCCACATTGTTCACTCTTTAAAATTTTCATCGTCCTCCCTTGTCTCGTTCTTTCATTCGTCTTTTATCGTCTAATGAGCTGTAATATATCCTGTTGCCTGAGCTATCCGTGTGATCGGATCGATCTGATCTTTCGCACATCACCAGCGTAAATGACGTCCAATTGCCCTAAATAATGACGACATTTTCAATATTCCGTCTGGTTTCATTCGTAGTCGCTCGAAGTTCGGTGGTGGGTAATAATTCACTGATGACCGTCGGTCGAAGCGTGTGAACAAATATGGATAGGGACGTGATGAACACATATAGGCTTAAAAATGTCTTGATGACTGCGTAGTGATACAGAAGCATGAGCTGCTTTTAGCATTTACGTTGTAAGCCATGTCAGCTTCCATTACTCAGCTCTAGCCTCGTCCGTGTATTATTTAGTTCCCTCTGTTTTTGTGCGGTTGTGCTTACTCCACATATAATATATCGGCTAAGTGATAATTTTCGCAGAAGTTATAATATAACTTCTGCTAAAACTCGTATCTTTGATGGCCAGCCGACTAATAAAACGCCAATAACGTTTCTATCTGTTTCGTTAATTTGTCTCCTGACCTTAAGCAGATCGACGGGTGGAACTATCTATATTGCGATATACGGACTTAAGTTTAAATGGATTGAAATCAAGCTGGATTTTTTTCTCATAGAATCTTCATTAGTCAAAAACCCTTGGTCGTAATGGCTTGGTCAATTCGATGCAGGGTTGATAATTTGTATTCGGAATGTAACAAATTGCAGCGTGACGCTTCACGCCTCAACGAGGAAATGAGAAACACGTTCATCAATGTCACTGATCACAACACTGCGGCAGTGGGGTCGTGTCGTGAAGATCAAAAATGAATTAATGGTAGCCATGCTTTGTTGACATCTCTCATCCGAACCTTTCATCAGTTTCGTCCGAATGTTCTAACAGCACACGCAAATCACAGAAATTGCCGGCGCCGGCGACCCTTACCGAACCGTTAGCCGTATAATTACCAAGCGTGGTATGACAACTTCTATCTGCGATCGGTCCAATTTTTTCTTCAGCTTGAAAAGTAAATATAAATCGAAAACGAAGATATATATGTATCTGCTTTTCGTAGCGTTCATGATTGTATTATTCCTCTGTTTGTTCGATACCATTTACGCTGACGTGTCCAAGGGAATCCTATCCGTTCTTGAGGCTCCATAAGTTGTTATCCAACGAATTCGCTGCTAACGCCCACCATCTTTTTGGCGATAAATGACGGATTGTCGTGCGTGTGTTTTCGCCAATAATAAAATGATGCGCAACAAAAAAATTGATTTCGAAAATATTAAAAATCCTTTTCCGAAATTATTTTTTCCTATGTACCATATAGGCTATTGGATTCATTCAGCTATATATTATAGTAGGCGGAGTCTTCTAAAAATGGCCAGTAGCAACAACTGAAGTCAGCTATCGTTTTCATCAAATTTCGCTTCTAATGGGCCGTATTTACACAAATCAATTGAATTTTTTGGCCGACATAGGCTCTCTCTGTAATATAATAGGAACAAATTCTATTTCATAAAAATATAAGTCGTTGCTCTAATATAAAGCAAAAAAAAAAAAAAAAAAACGATACCTTTTAATTCAGTGTTGTTTTCATTACAATTATTCTCCGCTACATATAAGACTATCGTATCTGGCCGGTTCGACTGATTATTTAACAGAATGTCAGAAACCGAATTTACCTCACAGAAATGTAATTTTTCTCATGCTAAAATCAGTCATTGTCGTCACTGTCTCCATAATGAATAGTTCTGAAGCAATTCTTAATAACTACGTTTGACGTAACAATCGGATTGTTCAGTTATTTTGTGCTTTTATTATGATACAATTGAAGTTCGTTGGGAAGTCTATTTGCCAATGGACAAACGCTTAAATATAGGATATCAGTGATTCCTTGTCGATTGTCTGGTGTTTTCAATGCTGTTGGAGCAAATAGATGCCCAAACTTTGGATGCAATGTCAGTAACATTGATATTTTTCTTTCGTAAATTTATAGAATTAGGCAAGGCAGGTGAGGAAGGCGCGCGGGGAAAAGCGATTTCGCAGTAGAGCCGGGCCTAAACCTGCGTTTTCAGGACAAGCGAATTCACAGTTTAGATGAAATGAGTTTCGAACAGGTTTCATTCTTAAAAGTGGACCTAATGTTGGTTAATAAAACCAGGGGGGTTCTTCATTTTCGTGATGGCACTTGCATCACTCTGAAGTAGCGTGGTGGATACCACAATACAGCATGTCTGTGAAAGTTTATTGAGCGTTTCAGTCCTGCTTCGACCTTTAACCCACTTCTTTAGTCCGGCATTTTTTCCAACTACAAAGTTACATCTTACTTAACTGTAAGCTTATATATTTGCCTTCCCCAATCTATGTGTATGTAGCCATTACGATATTTGAGCATTTCACACACGGATTTCAGATGCTCAATAAATATGCACGGAAAGTATTTGTCGCCAGACAATGCAGGAGCTATTTTTTTTTAAGTATGTGGCCTGTTCGCATTGGATTGCCTACAAATATTATATCCATCTGTATTATAGGACGAAAGATGTCTTCACATATATGAAATGAATGTCTGTCACACAGATTTTGTTTTTTTCCTTCAGTTCATCGCTATTTTGCCAGCTGTTACTGGCGGATAACGCACCTTTATTATACCGATCACGAACGATAACGGTTAAAATGGTTTCCTCCAACATGAGGAGCCTGTAAAAAGGCGCAGCAAGCCATGACATCGAGCCATGGTAGGGAGCGAAATTGACGGTGCCTGAAGAGACGCGGCGACGCAGGCAACCGATTCTGAGCCCGTTGACTAGTGGCTGAACAGTGTTGTGCTTCCAGTGCAAACTAGAGGAAAAATTTTTGATTGTGCATTGTTCTGTCTTTCATCTGATCACCTTCCCCTGTATCCAACAGCTTCCACAAGCCACTAACAGGCCGCTTTCGATTACGAATTTTCTCGACTAACTAGCACAGCCTGGAAAAGCTCCTCGTAAGCTATCGCTTTCCATTTTCCGATAAGACATAAATCGCTGACTATGGGGCAGCACAGAGACTGCCCAGTTATCGAAAACTGTCCGTTCCCGTCGTTCATTTATGGCCTACAGATCCATCCATGACCTCTCTTCTAGCCAGCGCGAATAAGTGAAAAATCGGCCTTACACCTTTTCGCACGTTTGTCCATTATCTAACGGCCTTTTTTCTTCTGTTAAGTAGCGTTAGTAGAATTCAGTCAGAAGAAGATGGTGATGGCAAAGGTGGCATCAGGGAAAAATGGGTTTAACCACCGCGACAGTACACACTCGTACATCACCAAATAGTGGGACGGTTTTAGGCGAGGGATGTCATCAATAGATACGGCATATGGCCTGTGGTGGCTCTGTATTAGCAAGCGTTCACTATTGGTAACGAAGATTGTCGCTGGTGCTGCGGTAGCTGGCAAATTGTCAAATACCCGTTGTATATGCGGCCACGAAAAAGATGAATTGCCAGTGCCAGTAGGGGGCTGTGCTGGGGGGTTGTCTGCCGCAGATCGGTTTTCTAGTCGATATTTAGCTTTCCGCCGTGTCTTGGTGATTATGGCAGCTTAGGGTACTTTAGTAGCATGTGACGTTAATAACGCGATACGAAGACCTCGAGACAGACAGGGATTTGAGCTTGCTCGACGAAATGGTTGAGATGGCTTAGAAAGTGTTACAGGGTTCAAGGTAGTATCGAGGTTATCTGACAAAACCGCCTTGAGAAGTCATTCATCACCAAATCAAAATGGAGAAGATTGTAATATAATGATAATGTAATACTAATGATGTACTGAAAAGTAAAGTATCCTTAAAAATTTTCATTGCCTTAGCAGTTGCGAGTTCATTCTGTTAAATTGAAAAATCAGGACAACAAACAATTGGTTCTCGTTGATTGATATTTGCTTGAAAAGAATCGTTGAATAGAAAGGGTTCTTTAGCAACTAACGAAGATGAAACTTTAAATAAAGACGCCGTTAAATTATTATGAAACACGTTAAATTGACCCATTGACGTTACCTGAACAGACTGGACTCGTTACTGCGACAAAACTTACAAACTGACCCATCGCGATTCATGTAAATTAAATTTATAATTCAAGCATGGCTAACGCCAATTAAACCTAAGCGTTGATTCCATAGTTGTGGAAAATAATTTACTGAACGTACCTACGGCCTAGGAAATTTCGATTAGAAAAGCATTGAATTGCCACGTGCTTAAATAACACTGTAGTATAACAACATTTAATGTATAATGTTTTGTAAATTCTGAAAAGCTGATCAGGACTTACCCGAAGCTCAGTCAGAGTGCTCATGGCGTCAACGGGAAACTCAACAAGTAAATTGTTGAGCAGTGATAAGGATGACAATGTGTCGTTGATTCCCTCGAAGGATTTAGCATCAATTTTGAGTATGCGATTTCGCTCTAGGTTTAGAGCTGTTAACGTGTTCATTGTAGACAGATGGCCGGGCTCAATTTTGCCGATTTTGTTTTGTGCCAGATCAAGAAATGCTAAGGAAATTAAACGGGTGACTCCTTTCGGAACAGCTTCTTGCCCCGTGTTTTTCAAGTTGAGGTTCTTGAGGGTGCCCTCCAAGCCATTGAACGCATCCGAAGCTATATTCAATTGATTATCGGCCAGCTTTAGCGTATTCAACGGCAAGTTCACAAAAGCGTCCGCGAGAACCTCAGTGATCTTGTTTGTTGACAGGTCAAGATTTTTCAAGGAAGTGAGTCTTTGAATGGCTTTTATCGGGATTTCTCTAAGTTCATTATCGGATAGACTCAAACTGGTGAGGCTGCGTTCAAGACCGATGAATGCTTTTTCAGAAATGGTCTTAAGTTTTGAGCGTGAGAACTGTAGGCCTTGAATGCTAAGCTTACTAAAAATAGCATCTGGCAGGTGAGAAACGGTTGAGTTGTTAATGTATAGCATATCAATTGGGACATTTTGTGCTGAGTTTAGTGCACCCATTAATCGAGTAAAGTTTACTGGTGAACATTGTATTGATAATTTCTGGTGGGAGTTGTATGTGCAGCCGCAGTCCGCATCGAGGTCAACAAGATCTCGGGACCATGGGCAGTTGGCTTGGGCTGCTGATAACGCCGTCAGCCCCAGAAGCAGCAAACTCCTAAAGCACAACATCGCAGCACTGGCCTTGATCTAGATCTGCAAACAGAAACAAAGAAAAAAAAAAGGTTAAAGCTAACAACAAAAAGATCCAACGAAAATGAGCCTCTGCCAGAGTTCTGCATAATATTGTACACATATTATGTTTGTCTAACAATACATTTTTTGTATAGCCTACTTTACTAGCACAAGTAGGCCCATCACGTCGTTAGACATAATCCTGCATAATGAAATATGTAGATGCGCTCACAGTTTTAGGCCAATTCCAACATTAATAGCATCAGTAACATGTGCATGAATGGTGAACGTGGACGCCCTTAGTGTCCTCGTTAGGGCGGTCATTGTCAGCTCAACGACAGTTACTACTTGAGATTCAGTTGACTTGTTTGTGGGAGTACTTGTGGGAGTGCAGAGCGAGGCCATCAGTGTGGGTTTTCACGTCTGCTTCAAAAACCGGTCATGGCTGGTCTCGTCTTATGTAATTCCACGTATGAATAGAAAGGTGGCCGCTAGAAATAAGTAACAAGACGGCTTTTATGCACGTCCAAATCGCATACATACACAAGTATCTCAACATCCACCCATGCAGTGTCTTCTCGCGGTGCTGTCCGCCCATGAATATACGCGCATAACACACGGACCAATACCGCTCGTCCGCTTATGCTAATTAATAGGCGCAGCATTAGAAGATGGCGGACGGGTCAGTCAACACGTAGAATCCGTTTCCATCGCTATATTTCGAATCACTGGCTACAATGTTCACATTACTTTAGTTATTCTGTCGCTCCCTCCCCCTCGCAATTACAAATAGATCATTGCGGTTAATGTATACATATATAAGAGTTCGAAAGGGATCTTTCCGATGACCGGTCCGTCCAGATGAATTTTCTTTAAGTAAGGACTTATCAGAGCGAAGAACCGGCGACGACCGATTGTCGAGCGAACAGCTTCGCAAGCAGGAGCTCAACAGGACCGAGATAGAAAATATCAGTAACTCTTCGTACGGCCTTCTCAAAGTCGCTGTATAAGTCTTCGAGTCTTGGAAAAGCCCAAACCTCACTGAGATAAACGAGGGAAGTCTGGTCGCACACTTGTATATATGTGAACGTAACAAGTTCACATCATAGTAATATGTACCTTTTTACTGTGATAAAGGAGCGCCCATCTCAATCGAATGATCATACGAAACAAAAGCAACCACCGAAAAAACGTCAGGTTTATCGGCGCGTATCCTCCAATATTATTTCCGCTGTTAGCTTCGAATTATACAGGCTATTCCTGTCCTTTCGGAAATGGACTGACTGATTTTGAACTTGAAATGTACCGGGAAAATGAAGTGATAGATACATTTTGAGAAACATGACAGCGAAGTATGACTGTACCGTGATAAAGTACAAGCGTCTGCCATTGCTGAGCGGTAGGCAAATAACAGCGACGGGACCGTTTTAGCTACTTCATTATAATATGAGTCGATTCCCATAGGTGAACTATAACGCGATTAAGGCCTGAACAAGACGCTATGACAAGGGTACCGATTGAGCTTCTTGCCGGCAGGCCTGAACGTCTATGAAACACCCTATAACAAACACTATAGAAATGGACGACAAAATAAATAGATATATTAACACAAGAACTATACGGCAAGAACAGTAGAGGAAATAATCACTTGCTGACGGGGGCAGATGGCATACGCTTATCTAGAGGCGAGAACTGACGCCTTTAAAACTCGCTATATGTGTGTGTGGATACATTATAATGCCGCATGTCATTTGATTGCACGCGCGTCAATCTGCAACACGGACGCGCGATCTGATCCCGCTTACTTACAACGATGTCAACGTATGATTATGACGACAGCGACGGCGCCCGCAGCAACGGCCGATAATAGAAGTCGGAAAAGCCCAAGCAGAAAACATTTACAGCAGAAGGGAGCACATCTCAGTTACAAATCATTATTAAGATACATTACCAGTACCAACGACATAAGCTGGATTATTCGTGCCCTTCATGACATAAATACTAGAGGTAGAAATCAGTAAAAAGCGAAGACACCGGAATCAAATGGGAAACAGGAATGGTTAGCGTTATTTTATTTGTTGCTAAAGAAAACAATGGACCGGGGCACGATAGACAGACTACGCCGTAACAGGCTACAGACAGACAGAAGCAACATCAGCGGTGAGGTTAAACGGACCTCTGCCGGTTGCCAGAAATGCGTCGGAACAAAAATCGTCATCGATTTAAATTAGAACGTCCCGGTAGATTGATTAGGAGACGGCCGATCGGTCAGACGCAATACTATATTTGCAAGCAGTTTTTACATTAATAAACAGATCGGCAAACGTTCGAATTGTAACAACAATAAGCACAGATCCTTTTAGCATCTGAACTGTATGGGTAGTTTAACGGTGCCCGTTATGGTGGCAATTGCCAAGTACTGAACCTATTCATGAATTGCGGTAGAACGTATTATTCAGTCTTCTGTAGTATGCATGGATGCTTCATAAAATCAACATCGAGATTATAGCAGTACATAATTACTGTGTTTTTAGTTTCCTTTTTGCCAGAGCTTCGTAACTCAATAGACATGTACACACTATACCTGTTCTTGTATTATTTCAGGTGAGTTATGTGTCTAAGTAAACGTCTGATCATTATTCATAATTGACTAATATCTGGAACTTTGCAAGACCCCTACGCACAAGTCTAGGTAATGATGCCGTTGACATTAACAACATAACCCATCGAATATTGACCTGAATAGGCCACCAACCCAGTAAAGAAGTGCGAACATGAAGTCGAATAAAATCCTATTTTTTTTTCGGGAATTTTGTGTTTTTACTACTACCATAGGACCATTATGTGAATCAGATATAGGCGGGTTAGGTTCAGATTTAACTGTTAAAATGAAAGAATGCGAGGTGTTTAGGGTGTCGTGCCGTCTGAAGGCATACACCTTTCTTCAACTTGGTGGAAAGGCCCTGTCTGTGCTAGTATAAATTGATTGTTAGATTCGCTTCCTATACCTACCTACGCATTCTAACAAATGTCCCACCAGTGGTCACATTTGACGGATTAAAGGATGATGTCTCAATTTAATGTTTTGTGTATACGTACACAGCCATAGTTGAAAACGGCACTATACCGACTAAGCTGCCTTCTGATATCTACGAAGGTATATCAGAAGGCAGCTTAGTCGGTAACATGAGCAGCGAAATTTGTTAGGACAAGAACGCTGGAGGATGCCACCGCACAGCTCTGACGAAAACTGGAACCTTAGCTTGTCCTTAAATGATCGACATTAGAGGACGGTTAATCTAATAAGCAAGTTAATTTTTTTAGACCCTGCATGTCTTACCTAGCCTTATCCGCAAAACGTGACATTTCGCTTGCATTACAATGGGTGATTTATTTTTTCTAATAAACTGCAAATAGGACTATTTTGATATGTCACCCATGTTAATTGGCACTCATAACGACCGCAGCTTTTTAACCAGCTTTTAAGCATTCTTCATGAACTGTCGATACATCTCTATATATACCTAAATTTATTCCGGCCCACAACAACAACTGAGATGATGATGATTAAATTGTAAGTTTTACTTGGCTTGACGTCCTGAATTTACTAAACGGGCGTCAGTCAACAAGTGTGGACCACCGATTGCAGGACGACTACAAATGACGTCGTACTATCCCAGTCTATAAGTACTAAGGACAGAGGAAAGCAATTCTGTGAATCTATCTCATATAGTTATCAGGCACCACAATATCCCAACAGACTCGCCCTTTAGGTCCTCTGTTTTATTGTTCTTCAACATTTTCCCTACAAAAAATGTTATCGAACCTTTTCATGGTGCTTTAAGCCCGTGCGCGCACCCATTTGCACAAGCAAGTCCTGCCAGAATATGCGTATTTCATGATCGGTGCAATAAATTTAGTGATATCTAAAAACAAAGCCATATGCTTGCTACGATTGTTTACTAGCAGCAACTACAGCCGGCTGCGGTAGTGATGGCAAACGGATTTTTGGCAAGGGACATGTTTGTTCATTGCAGCCGGTGCTTCCGTTGCCTCCCCTTTCGTACATTGTTAACCAGCGGGAGCTATCGTGATTTCATACGATGGCTGCATGGCAAATATGTACGAGACAAAATGGCTTGACAGACTGAACAGTAGCTAGCGCGTGTTTTCGGCCATTTGCCGTATACGGCTTTGTTCGGATCTGCTTTTTCTGTCTGATCGGGTCGAGTCGAGTGGACTCGATCCATCGATCAAATGCTAGTTCGTGAGCGTTGGATAGTAGTCACTTGCTGATTTTTTTGCTTATCGATGCCGCTGCTCGCCTGTCTGTCCGCCCGCCGAACGCCAGTAAATTACTGGAAATAGCAATAATTGTACGAGCGGCAGGACGAGCAATGGCGGCATAACTCGCCGTTGTAGAGAAGTAGATGCGCTAGTAATGTCACAATAAGTGTAATGCATATTATGGGACAATAAATCCTCCTTGTAGACATGGACAGCAACCAAGTTCACAGGTTGAGCGGTCCGATAGATTGCTACTATAGTTCCTACTGCTGTTACTAATGGTCTAGAGACCTTCAAACCTCCGACAAGAGGTCGAATCCGCCCCATCCAGCGAACAACGAGAGGGAAGGGACACTAGGGGGTGGGGTAGACGCTGGCACTGCTTCGCTACGGAGAAACGAGTGGACGCCACGTTCTATCCAACGACAATGCGGAGCGGCAGTGCGTCAAAACAAAAAGAATCACAGCTGCTACAGAAACATGGACAGCTCTAAGCACAGCAGAAGCCATTCATGGCGGTTGTAACCCCCGCAGCCAACATTCGCACGAAAGTAGGCACAATCAGGAAAACTAGAGTAAGAAAATAATAGGATGATAATGAAGTGAAACGTATTGGCGATGGAAGACCATTGGCAATCGAAGAAAAATGCTACTTGAGCTGTTGCTTCAGATCTGACGAGAGTTCATCTCCATGTTGAGCTGATAAGTTTTCTGTCTTAATTATATTGACGTAC